GTATATTTCCATAGTATGGATATAGTATGGAAATATAGTATGGATATACTATGGATTTAGTGGTGCAATTATTATATACATAACACCAAGTTTCGTACAGGTTTCATGGAAAGTTTTCGGGGAAATCGATTGGTGTGTTTTACAGGGACTGCATGGAAAGATTTGGAAAATCTATACTGTCACATTTTAGGGCTCATCGAAAGTCATGGAATTTTGTACACAAATAAAAGCCATAGAAAAATATATATATATATTTTATTATAATATAGATTTTTATGTTTCTTTGGTTTTTATTCGCGTTTTATAATTTATATCGAGCACTTATGCTCATTGTAATATTTAAATGCCATGCATGCACTCGGATCTTCATGCACGAGTGAAAATCAAAAGTATATTTTCTGTTACTTAGTATTACTTTTTAAGAAGTTGATTTTGGAAATTTTAATGTGAGGACTATTTTAAAGTAAGGGCTAACTGACGGTTGACCACTTCTTCTGCACAATACTGCTTAGTAAGAAACTATACATGTGTAGCTATACTCATATATGTACAGTGTATACAAAATATGCCCTCTTAATAACTACAAATATTCCACATGTACTCCCTCTCCAGTTTCTCATGCAGTGTGCATATATAGTCTTTGTATCGGCATTTCTTTCATGGTGACTGAGAAGTTTCCTTAGCACAAGTGGCGTGGGAAATTTTAAAATCCTTTGTAAAGAAAATCAGGAATTAAATAATAGAGGGAATGCTTCATTAATTACAGGCCTATTTATATGTACAGTATATGTTCCATGACTATACATTTTTACAAAATCTTTGCCAAGATGTACAAAACATTTAACTCATTTATAACGGAGAAAAGGCCAGAGCTTTACTCCTAAGACAATCGGTATTATGTAGTTTCGATTATGCATTTTCTCCCTAATATTGATCATTGTTATCTCGCTATATCTACTAGGTTTATGTCAGATAGTTGTTTGATCTCATGACAATGGATTCGCTTGAGATCGAGACAAAGAAATTACAAAAAAATGGAATTTGAATTTATAGCTGTTTTAATTATATGACGAGCATCTTTATACCGGCTTATGACATTTCATTTGATTTCCTGGAGAAAATGAAATATAACGATATAGACATATATGCATGTATTACACTGTGAATGTTTTTAAATTTCACTGTTGTCATGCACCTTTTCTCGAAATTTTCGTATTGCAATTAAATGAAAGCATGTTTAACCTAACAGTGGTTTAATATAATACGAACTAGAAACCTAATTTTAAAATCTTTGAACTGTTGTTGTTGCTTTGTGGCATTTCGCAAAAGAACCAGGAACTGGTGGAAAGTGTCTTATATATAGGCTTGAACTGTCTGTGCCAGTGTAGGTATATATAGTGCCAATAATAAGCTTTTGTTGGCACGGATACAACTGCCTGAAAAATATAATACCTTAGTCGAAATTCTCCTTATATTTTCAGGTATATATAGTTGCATCCCTACCAACGGCAACGAAAATCTGATATATAGGACCTAAGAAGTTAATAAAACTTAATAAGAAGAAGTAATAATAATTAAAAGACATTATAAACTTCCGTATAGTAGATACTCACATTACAAAAGGTAAATAATTATCATGGCTGAAGAGGATTTTTGTAATTAAGGGTTATCACTTATCAATATGCGCTATAGTTACTTCCAGCTGAACGAAGTTTCCGGAAACGTTGCCTGGCTGCTATATAACCAAACTGTTAACATAGAGTGAAAAAGTGGAAAGGTGTTCTGTACCAATACAGGATTGTTATGCCTTAACTAGTTAAAAATTACTCCCAAATCTGACCCTGACGCGAGAACACCGCATTGTCCGACAAGCTGCATGCACGAGCAAGGCTCGATGCATATAATCAGAGCGTTGACGTCAAATACAGTTTTAAAATGAAGCTAGCAGCTCATTCTTCGTACGCGAATATAAATTTCTATTAGTATGTTACGAGCGATGATTTCTGACGTCATGGAATAATATAAGTGACAATTTTATATATTTAAGGGACTGGTACTGGTCATAAAGTAACTGCTAGGGTGGGCAGGAGGTAAATCACAAATTTTGCCAATAAGTTCGGTGACCCATCTTAGGATGTAGATAAAAATTTCAAAGCCCATCTAATCTTACAAAAAAATTTTCATGACCCACCCAATCTAAATTGGGAAAATACACTTTTATATAATAAAAAAAAACTTTGCAGGTATGAACATTGTAAATATACACGGCACTGTATTGACATACATAATTCCACCAAGCTTGACCAACACATTGATACTGAACTGTTCTCCAGTTGGTTGTATTTCCTGTGATTCGACCACTTTTTGTTGTTGTATAAACAAAGTACTGGCTTCAATAGCATCATTTGCATTTGATAATTTAGATAGTTTTGTTTACTTTTATTATTAATATCTTTATTTTTTGAAGTAGACATGCATGGGTTTTTGTTTGGTGGCCCAACCGTGGACATACAAAAAAATTGGCGGCCCATCGAAACTGCCCAAAGATTTTCCATGGCCCATCCCAAATCACTCCAGCCCACCCTAGCAGTTACTTTATGACCGGTCCCTAAAGCCTTTTAGACAAAACAAGTATATAGATACCTTTTCCGAAAATTTTATATTCTGCTCATTTTTTATCCCCGCTCTTTCGGTATTAATTCTTTGAAAAGCTAATTTGAGATTAACAATTTTTTTACTAACTTGTAAACAAATGCTGCAGGAAGTTTTTCGTTCTGTTTTTATTTCTCTTTAGGCTATGAAAAGCGAGGAAATTTTTGTAATTAATTGTTTTCTCGTTCACAAAACTCCAGTAATTTTTGAGCGGCCATCTTGTTTTTTCTCTAGAGATCAATCAGATTGCAGAATAGCTCATATTTGGTAGTGATCTAAATTATAAACGTAATTGGTTCTGCGCTCTCTTAATTAAATGTTCACATGTAACAAGTCATCAGTGGCGGACACTTCACGAAATAATGGGGAGGGGGGCCAACATATGACCATTGGTTAGGTTGCCAACATATGACCACTTCTTGTTGCTGCAAATCTTAGTTCTTTAAACTTTGTTGCCTCAAATTCTATATTTACCTTGATTTATGGCCTACATTATCGCTTTCATGGTTGAAAAATTACAGTTACAGCTTTGTTACAGTAATTCAAGTGTCATTTAAAGGCTACCGGGTGTCGCTTACCGAATAACCTTAACATAACCAATTCTCGAGGGGCAACTTCTAAGCTCAGTTATATCAGGGTTGGCCCATCATCCATAATCAAGCGGCAAAATTCACATCCCCCTCCCCTAAATGAGCACCAATTATACTCGATATTAAAAAAAATTCTGTTTCTGCAGATGGCGAAAAAGACATCCGCACTTTTTTCTGAATTTGCTGGGAAGGAATTTCCTAGGGGTATAACATGTTACCATTCCACTAAAAACCTCAACGAACCATTGCTTACGTTATCTGACCAAGTAGATCAACATGTAAGTGAGTCATTTATTACAATATACGAATGAATAACATACAAACAATAGTTGTATAGACAACTTCATAAACATGCCGATGGAAGAACAAGAATGATACAGGTTGACCATCGGCACAGTCTACAGGCAAAATAAAAACATTTATTTTATTTTATTTTAAAAATTTTCCCCATGTACAATAAATTTATGTGTAGTATATTTACAATAATTGTAGAGTGCGGGCTAGAGACCTACTAGAAATCTTAGTAGACTTTTTATTTAGGTCTCTAGTTATGCTAGTTTGTATTGTGTTATGTAATAAATTATTTACAGTCAATCACAATATTAAAGGAATATATATATATATATTATTTACAAGAGAGAAAAAGAAGAGAAATTGTTCTTATTATAGAAGTGAATATTTACAAGAGAGAAAAAGAAGAGAAATTGTTCTTATTATAGAAGTGAATACCAATGTTGTAGATGCATTTGGGTTCTTATAAGAATTAGACTACAATATACTATTAAATTTGTCATATAGCAGAATGTTTTATAGCATATCTTATACGTTGTATAGTAAAAAATATTGTTTAATTTGCTTTTTGAAAGTGCTGTAGAAATTTATATCTATAAATTTTGTTTCTAATGAATTCCATACGTCAACTCCTTTATTTGACAGAGTGTGTTCTACATAATTTGTTCTTTTATAACATTTGTGAAGTTTTGATGCATTTCTCGTGTTATATTGATGAATTTGGTTGTTTGTCACAAAATAATCTTTAAAAAATTCTGGTAAATTATTAAGATGGTGGTATCGAAACATAAACATCTGGCATGTTAGCTAAGTGAAATCTGTATTTCAAAGGATAAGACACCCTAAGGGTATACTTAAGAAAATTTGGGATTTCTCTTTAATTTGAGCTAATCTTGCATGCATCAAATTCTTTTCAGGTTGCGATCGTACTCTGGAACACTATTTTACGGTTTATGGGAGACATGCCGGAGCCACGACACACCTTCTTGGATACGGTATGATATTCTAATTTGACATTGAAGTATTTTTCAGCTTATTTCCTAGGTTGCCTCTCTGACTCTCTTCGCCTTTAATAGTGCTGTCCAGGTTACTATGCATACACTGAATGGTAAGACCACAGTTTCAAAACAATAGGGATAGGTTTATACCTATACAAGCACTCGTGATAAATTCATTACAGAGCGTAACGATGTTCAATTTGATACTTATAGGAACAGCTTCACTACATCAGTCCACGATTCCTTATATATGGCTATATTTTCTAACAAATACAAGACTAAATAATATCATGAAAAGAATTTACATTATTTTCTTATTCTGACAACTGTCGTTAAAGTTGACATGACACGAACTTTTTTATCGCCCCATCAGAAGTCAAAACTGTAAAGCAACTTCTTTTGCAAATTTTTGTTTACGTGCTTCCTTGGTGGGATATTCAGTTTTCTTGATATGCAGTGTAAACAAATGCATTGCATGTGAACAAAACTGAATTCTCTCACCAAGGAAGAATGTAAACGAAAATCTGTAAAAGAACATATAACATGGGACAATAAAAAATTTCGTGTCATATCACCTTTAATGCTAAGTGAAATCTACAAATCTATCTTGTTTATATAGTCATCACTGGAGCAAGTCACAGCAGGAGAAAAGGCAAACCTCTTCACTTCTAACAGTTGGATGTCAACATTTGATAAACTACGATTTGTTGTTGGCTTAGGAATCAATCGCCCACATTTAAGGTATATAACCTTACCAACATTATATTTTGATAGTTACATATTATGCACACATATATTAACTAAAGACAATGTGGTCTAAAGATTACGTTGCTCAAATGACTGAAAAATTATTTTCGTCCACTGAAAAAAGTACTGAATTGGTTTATAGCATATCTACAGATACTATAGAATAAGCTTTGCCGTTTCATAAATCCATGTTTTGTTGCAGGGATGAAATATATTGCCAACTCTGCAAACAAGTGACAAACAATCCTTCCAAAACTAGTTTGTTAAAGGGATGGGTTTTAATATCATTATGCATTGGTTGTTTTATGCCTTCTACGAAGGTAAGTCACTTTAATAGTATGCTATTTCTCTACTATTATCTTGTCCAATTATATGCTCCAATTTTAAGCCAATCAATGCGGGTATATAATAACGGCCATATCATTTTGATTTACTAGGGAATACATATCTAATGATATACCTGGACAATTTAGTGGTTACATTGTGTTTTTTCAGGAAGAACCCAAACAATGTCTGGACTGATGACCAGAGTTGTCTTGAAACCATGACTTTACCCCTGGGGTTTGTTGCTCACCAAGTCACGGTACCTAAGATACCTGCAAAAATGCAAAACAAATGTATACTGAACAAACGGTTAACACTTGCACTGAGCTTGCATGTTGGCTTTAAGATGTGGGAAAGATAATGCCATTATAATGCCTTATAGACAGGCAAGATTTATATATTGCACTCTTGTTGGTATTTCCTCCGCAGGTGGAGCAAATTGTAATAGAAGTGATGAAGTGTGGTCCGGACGACTGTGCTAGTTATTGCGATCAGAAAATGACCAGAACTAAGAGAAATGGTACGAGAAAACAACCTCCCAATACTTTGGAATTACAGGTAATTCAATAAAAATTCGAGTTGAGGCTGCACACAAGCTAGGCACATGCACGCGATATTTTACCGTCGTTTGCATTTAAAGGCCCGTTTACACTTGCAATTTTTGCTGCGATTTTAGGTGCGATTTTTTCTTCTGCTGATGTATGTGAACGAGCGGATGAGTTAGGAATGTTTAGGGTATGATGAGGGTACATATATACTATTTACTCGTTCACATCCATCAGAAGAAGAAAATCGCACTAGAATTCGCAGCAAAAATTGCGCATGCAAGTGTAAACGAGCCTTAAAGGTACGTTTACACGCTGCGATTTGTCGGGCCGATTTTGCTCGCTGTATGTAAATAACCTGTCGTGAGCACTCGCGTCAGCGCCTTGCGATTCACAAAATCGGGAGAAAAATCTGTAGCAAAGCACAGATTTTTCTCACGATTCAACGATTTTTCTTCCGTTGTAAAGTTGTTGAAAACTTTTCGCACGCAGAAAACTATAATATGAACAGACGAGAGAGCGGATAGCTTCAATTGAACGTTTAAATCGCTAAATGTCGAAGAAGGGGCAACGTTTATTTGCCAAAATCGGCCCGACAAATCGCAGCGTGTAAATGTAGCTTAAGGATGAACAACTGCAGTGGCGTAACTGCTTTGGGTTGCGCTCTGCAAAAGTTGACTCAAGTAGCAGAGTGAAAAAATAATGTTAACTCTTATTATTTTATATGTTGTAGTCTAACTTCTATTTGGTAGTCAGAAAAGTAGCCTTTTGTAGGTTAATTTGCTTGCTTCTGTAAGTGCCGCGATTCTGACGTTGACCGCCATCTGCTAAAGTGCTTTCCTATAATTGTTGAAACCAGCAGGATCTAACTTTTACCATCAATCCATGGAACAATACCTAGAGTGTTTTTATACATTATATAGGCTGCGCAGCAACTGGTGTTTCCTGTGGTGTTAGTGGAATTAAATGATGGAAGAGAAGTCCACATAGAAGTGGATTCATCTACAACGGCAAGAGAATTGTGTATAGACGCTGCAGATGAGATGGGCACTGATCATAACGCTGGATATGGCATACAAATTGGCATGATGGGCAAGGTATCGAGCACAAGAAACACTTTACATTAAGTAGCAGTCACTTCTGTTCTACTCATGCGCGAACATAATTTATTTCTAACAATAGATAATCAGTTCTTTGAATGTTTGCATGGCGATAAAATATAATTGTTTTTGTTTGTGGAAACACCACGTAAAAAATGCAGTAATAAATTTACGTGGTGTTTCCACAAACAAAAACAATTAATAGATAATCAGTTAAACTCCAGTCCTGTGGGCTCACACCTTAGCCCATTATTCTTCAGACTACACCGCAGAAGGTGATATTGAACAGTTAAACAGAAAATTTTGACTCCAAAGCAACATAATAGCTAACGGCAGATTTTTGGCCACACCTCCGATATCATATAGGATATTTTGACGATGCATGTTTACACGTTTAAATGTGCACATTTTTAACTTCCGCATTTAGAAAATAGGGTATGTTTTGAAATGTACACAATTTCATTGAACGACTGAAACACTAAGAAAAAATTCTATATTATGCACTTGTTTTGAGCAAACTCTCACCGGTCCGGATTCAAACCATCTTAATTGACCACTTGCGTAATAGACTAAATTTTGATCTAGACAAAAATTTCATACCCTTACCCTTTGGGGCTGTCAATTTCCCGTTTGTAATCTAAAATGACTGAAAATTGCAAACTTCGCAAGGCTATATTATCCGCATTTTACAACATTTCGCAACGAAACTTTGGAATATTACTAATTTTATGATGCTCTTTCAAGCTGTTATGACATTTTTGTCTAGACTTGTTTAGATCAAAATTTAGTCTATTACGCAAATGGTCAATTCCACCTTCCAATTTCCAGCATATCAACCTTGGTAGTGGTAGTGAGAAGCTGATGGATGCAATATGGGTGTGTGAACAGAGTGCAAGAGAACTTGGATATGAAAAAGATGACATACCATGGAAAATTTACTACAGAAAAGAAGTATACAATCCTTTAGAAGAATTTCTCATTGATATCAGCTGGACAGACTTTGCATATAACTTCGTTGTTAATGGTATCAGATCTCGTGTAACGAAATTAAAACGGGTATGCTTTAAAATTAAATACTAAAAACAATATGCGTTCTTATCGTCCTTATAAGCGTGTCATAGTTGCAAAAGTGGACATTGCAATTTGAGTCTGGAAATTCAGTGTACAATGGGTTGCGGTTGAACATTATGACCTAGCTAAATGGCTATATAATTCGTGAATTGTTACTTAAATTGTGAATTAATAACATAATTTTTTTACAAATTTGTCTGCTTCGTTCTCCGGAAAACTCAAATTATCTCGAAAAAAGTAGGATCTCGGGACTTGGAATCCAGCATGGAGACATGCTTATTTTTTAATTGAATGTTCAAATTGAGTTTAAGGAGTAACTTGGGATTCGAGAAACTTCAAACCCTTTTGCCCATTTTCATTTTCCAACCGTCTATAGACTTAATGTTTTTTTTTCATTTAGCGGTTTAACAGTACAGAGAAATTGGCTGATGAGAAATATAGTCCCGTTCAACAACGTAAGGGATCCAATACGAGTTCAACAAGTCGTCCTAGTTTAGCCAGTTTTTCTTCCATGGGATCATCAAATGACTTCGGGTTACCCTCCCGCACGAATTCCGGCGTTAGCGATATATGTAATGTTGAATTTGCCTTGGAAAACAATAATTCACCACAAAACAATGAAACGACGTTAAAAAGAATATGCGAAACATACAAAGATAGTTCTAAAGATGTACACACTTTGGAGGAATATTCCAAAAGGAATTTCACACCCGGAAATTCTAGCAAGGACAAGTGGCGGAAGAATGGGCAGCCGGCGTGTATATGGTCTCATCAAACGGTGAGTGATGGATAGAATTTGAGCGGCCGATCTGTGTGGGTATATTACATCTAAAATAAATAACAGTATCGACCTACTGCATCTAATAGAGAGGTTCAGATTTGACTTCCAGTACCGCTACCATTAAGGGACAATCAACCAATCAGATGCGTTTGATATATTCGATTGACCAATCAGATGCGTACTAAGCCAGTTAGAGGTATAGTAGTAGCGGTATATAGTGGTAGACAAATCTGAATTATTTGATACAGATTCTCTTGATTAGTATTCAAAAGTTTAACTCATGCAGTGGTCTTGATTAGTATTCATGCGTTAGGAACGGAAAGCACCCAAGTAGAACGCAAGGACGCATCAAAGAACGCCCTCCAGATGCTTCCTTGTGCATGCGTTATCTGTCAGGTCAAGTCCTTAATATACGTAACAACTAGTTTACACGTACTCACGTGCTAGCGTCAGAACGAAAGGGATCAGGCTGCTGTTAAGTTATTCCTACGGAGCAGTTCTGTGTGTAACGTTCTTCGCCATTGGAAGCTACATTTAAACACTGCAATTTCAGATCGAATTTCGTCCAAAATTCCTCATTAGCAATTGGCAAAACCAGAAATCAGCCTAACGGGTTTGACCCTTTGTAGATAATGTAAGATCTAGATTTGGACAAAAGCCACAATGTGCAAACGTACCTAATATTGTTGCTTCACAGTGGGGACGTTACGGCGTAACTACACTCTTGGCCAATCTACAGCTATGCGAAACGTGTAAGCGAACGACAAAAACTAAGCGATACTAGTTTTAAATTGGATACCTACATGCATATACTTACATTTTCTACAATCCAATGCTACAAATCCATTGTGTTTTTTGTGTTTACACCTTTTTTGACCTGAATTATTTACAAAAAAAGCAACCAACTCTAATTACTGAGCAACAAATTTCTAAACCATTGGCTAATACATTGTTATGCAAGCACATGACCTTCGTTAGACGTCAGTTGTATTGACAGCTTGTTATTTGTTTTACAGGAACCGTTAAATGAGCCTCTTCTTGTTCGATTACGTGACAACCATGAATTATCAAGCCTTTCAGTTGAAATATTTTCTGATATCCTTTTTGAAATATTAAGATATTTATTTATGAATATAATCATAAATTATAATTTATCCAATTTTCTATAGTTGCACTTGACCTCTCGTGCAGGAGTTAATGGCAAACCCTGCAACAATAATAATGGGAAAATGATGAAAATTATTTTCATTGATGGCGGATGAATGCTGTAGAATACATAATGTATGCATGTAGCTTAAGCTATAATTGTGTTGCCAATGGTTGTGATGGTTGTGTGGAGCATTGCCACGTAGTGCAGTAAAATTAAAGTCAGCAATTGGAAATATGAATCGCCTGAGATGAATTAGCTAAGGCGGTTAGGCTAAGCTTTAATTTCCATAACTTTACTCTACCTATACTCGTGTATATGCAAAAGTGCACGAACAACAGATCTTCCAAATATTACAAGGTGGAATTGACGGACAAAATATTCAGACCAGCTGTACAACACGTAAGTACATTTTACGTTGTTCGCAGTTACTTTGTGTTTATTAAAATGTGTATGTTATCTGAAAGTGACATGCATAGAAAGCCATGCAACTAATCAATGCAAACCTACCTACCCTATTTTTTAAGGATATGAAACTGGAATCGCAGGTTATTTATTTATTTGGCCTAATATGAAGTTGAAGAACTTTAATTCATTACTTTAACCATTATATAATTACTCTGCTTGTTAGCATATATAAAATAGCAGAATGCTGATTGCTTACAATAGATTCCCTCGCCTAGCTGGTGTTCAAATGTTATTCATTCTGCAAATTTTCCTTTCAAACAACACATGATAATCGCCCTTGTTGAACATTGAACGGTATATCTTCAATGCCATAGTTTTCCAAAATATCCAGATTCAAAAGTACAAAGTCATGTCAATATGAAGTACTTCAGCAGTTCAACTGAATCTGATTTGACTGATTTGTTCTGTAGGAAGCATTGAAGGATGAACTGTACTGTCAGCTAATGAAACAACTGACGAATAACGTGGATACGTAAGTTGCTAACAGTTATATTTCACACTAACAATCCTCTTAAGCGGACACCCCTTTTAAGTGGACACAGAGCTCTTGTCCCGATGGCAATGTTGATAAAATACTATAATTATCATCCTTTTCAAGCAGATATCTCTTTTAAGCGGACATATCTTTGAGGTTTCAAAGGTTAATTGAGGTTCGGCCATTTGACTGTGTAAAGATATAGTCCTATTAAAGATCAGTCAGTCAGTTTACATTTTCATGAGAGGCGGAGCTCCCCTTTGAGTCGAACGGGCGTCGCTCGTATTGCCTATTCCACAGTATAGGCATACTGCCAAATCAAAGTCGTTATATAGCTTAATCAATGTTATTAACTTCTTTTGTTTTTTATAATGACCAATAACAAGGCTTAAATTTTTGGTATTATTGTTATTGGTCATTATAAAAAACAAAAGAATTTTTTATTAAAATGAGGCTAAGGGAAAGTTCGATACTAAATATATTAACTTCTTATTAACCGAACGCGAGGTCTGTACAGAGAAATACTTGCATTTATACTTGAAAACAAGAATGATTTGAAATGCATTTTAGTAGCGTGGTACACATTTGGTCGAAGAAAACAAAAAAATAGCAATGCATGTATTCCTTCTTTTCCACTAAAAACCATTCGCAGATATCTTATTAATAACAAATTAAATTATAATTTTCAAATTTTTTAAAATACATGCGTTTGTTTTTACGTAATGGACCGCCAGTCCATTACGGGAAAATAATGGACCGCTGAAAGTGCTTCTCAGCCAATCACAGTCCGCCATTTCACTGGAAGTGATGCTTGCCATATAAGGGAGCTTTAGATTTGACTACGAGTACGACTACGAGTACGAGATTTGATCGCGTGCGAGGAAGTTACCGTAGTCGTTCTCGTTTCCATTCAAATGTTGCTTTTATAACAGTAAATCAACAGCGAGAGAAAGTTTCATAAACTAAATCTCCTGCTGACTAAAATCCCCTACAAAACGTGCAAGTAAGTCATAACATTAAAAACAGGCCAGATATTTAGTACTAATATATTATTTGCGCCGGATAAACGCTATATAAATGCTACAAATTATTTTTGGAAAACAAAAAAAAGCCAACTTTCTTTGTTTGTTTTTTGAAAAATCGTCGTGAGGACTACGAGGTTTCTCCACAATTTCGTACTCAGATGGGCGACGGCTACGACTTTTCCTCGTCAGTACGGGATGGCGTAAGCATACAGCATGCGTTTAGCTTGACGAATCTCGTACTCGTAGTCGTACTCGTAGTCAAATCTAAAGCTCCCTAATAATAACTTATGACTGCTGATTGAGGCCAGTGAGCTCTATATATATCTGGAGCAAGAACTTCAGTCATTCGGCCTATGAGAAAAGTGAAGCCAAGATGTCATAAACAGGTTTTATACAATTTTTCCCCAGCTAAACCAGTTTTTTTCTGACGGACCGCCATATCGCGAATAAAGTTTTCAGTTCATAAAATCATAATATTAGTCTTTAGTCAAAATACGAAATTTCGACACACTCCTTGCCAAGATGCATGGCGGAAATCGAAGGAGCTATTGGACGTCAGTTCCAGTCCCTTTCTGGTGTTCAGTTTTGTCTGCACGGTTAGCACGAAGCTGGCTTCACTTTTTGGACTCAAGTTCTCGCTCCAGATATATATGGACACAGAGAAGAGATATACAGAGAGGAAACACGCGGCAAATTATGTCACGTCGATATATTCAGTCTATTAACTATCAATCTCGTACCCAGAGCAATGCCTGTGCGCGGGCTAGGATGGCATTGGCTCTGGGGAAATTGAATTTTCCCTGTGCTGCGATTGGTTTAATTAACGTTTATCAATCGTACATGCCGACAAAGAACCGGAACCCCTAAATTTAGGGGTTCCGGTTGTCAATTTCCCCAGAGCCAATGCTATCCTAGCCCGCGCAGGCATTGCTCTGGGTACGAGATTGATTAACTATAGAAAGATGCAGAGGAAAAACTATACACATTATAGAAGTATTTATGTTTTTTTTATGCAAGAGTTATATTTTGAGGCATTTATATCATTCGCTGCTTTGTTTTTTATACATGAGCATCTGAAAATCCCAGCCAGTGCTTTTCACGATTTTAATAAGGAGTAGATAGGGAAAAAAACAAACTTTTGCAAAATAAAATGTTATGATTAACACTTTTAATAAAAGGAAATCAATAAAAGTGATCGCTTACCGTTATTCTACAATAATTTATTGAACAAAATTTCCATGGGTATCTCATTTTTTTTAAAAAAGCGATTTTCACCTTTCGAACGGCGTTTTCCCTATCTTTTGCTATGAAATTTCAGCGACGGCACTGGCTGGAAGATTTTGCGTGGTGCGTGGAACGCGTGACACAAAAATTCAGGTTATCGAGTGTCAGTTTCCTCTCTGTATATCTCTTCTCTGTGATATGGAGCTCACTGATTGAGGCATGCAGGACGTTCTGAGTGCGAAGGTTACATTGTCGCATGGAAACTAATAACCTATAAAATACTTAGATCTTTGTCGCTTTATTTTTGCTCGCCTTTTCGTAAGATGAATTTGTAATTTCTTTTTGTAGGAACAGTTACCAACAGGGATGGGAACTCATGTTTCTTTGCACAAGCCTTTTTTCTTGCAGGTTGGTCTTAATTTTATGTCCGAAATAGTCTTGCTGTATAAACTTGCAACAATATTTTTGACACTGAGCCAATAAAAGAATCACCGCGTGATTTTTTACTTAACTGATATTTTCCATCTGAGTAAAGGCGTAAAATTTAGGTTTAGGTTTAGGAGTTTCTCTTTCATTCAGTATGTTTAAGATAACATGGATCTGCCCAAAATTGCATTGCAAGTGGCATGAGAAGTTATTTTCTCTACACTGCACCATTGTCATCATTTGTTTCTTTTTGCAATCTAGTGAAGATCTTCTGAAAGAAGTGATGCTATTTTGTGTTACGTGGAGTAAATACGAGAAAATGGGAATGAACTGTTTGACATATTTACGTAAAACTGTTCAAAGTGGTCCAAGGCATTATCCACCACATTTTGTGGAATTTGCTGCAGCTACGGTATGTGAATGCAAATATTTTATGATTGACCTAAACCTCAGGATGATGTTTTTGTCTGGAATTATATCAATTACGTGTCTGTTTTAATCGAGACTCTGCAAGGTTGCGACTGATAACTTCACGAAATCTTGATAATTTTGGAAGATTCGTTGTCGTTGCTAATGTTTTATATAAACATTTCGTGAATATATTAACTTTGCTAACTTAGCACTTTCAAATTATATATTCATAGATTAATTATATCCCGTGCATGTTCATTATCCCATATATCTAGTAAAAAAATTTTAAATTTTAGAAACAATGCCAGTCTATTTTGCACAAAGTTTATTTTCCTGATTCGACATCAAAGGTAAGCCATTACTATTGGCCTTGTAACCTATATTCCAATAGCAACGAGGCCAAATAAGATGGCCATTTATACAAATAAAAATTTTAAAGTGGAAACACAATTTCTGAAATTATACCATGTATTTATGCGGCAACCCCCCCCCCCCCCCCCCC